TGAATGCAGGTCTTCTGTAGCTCTGATGGATCAATTGATCCATCTTTTTTTTTTTTTGCAAATGCGCCATCTGCTATCTCTTCTCCCTCCTCTACTTACCCTGAGCTTTGAGGTTAATTCTCAACACCTGACCAGTTTTAAATTGCTGAGTTAATTATCAGATTAAGGACAGGAGACAATCAGTTCCAAAAGCAGGCCATTTCCGAAAGCCAAAGACGTCTTTGAGCAGAGAAAGGAACGCGGCAGACAACTTCATTCCACCAGAGCCAGCAGATTTCTCTCTGGAACACTTTAGCACTTGGGAGAAGAAAACTCATCAAAAGCGGTAAGTTTGACCATCTGCGGTGGAAAAGATCAATTAAGCATGCAGTTGGATACATTACAGAGATCTCCTTAGAATGTTTTCTTTTTTTAAAGAAATTGGAAGAAAGTATCTTTTTTTTTTCTCCAGAGGAAGTTATTTACAAGTTGGTATGTTTAGAGTTGCAACCTTATACCCTAAATCTGTTGCAGTCAGCAAGAGAAAACAGGCATCTATAAGCAGATTTGCATGAGCAGAAAGCAGTAGTTTTAAGAAGAACAGAAAGGGGTATTGTTGCATAATGGGAACACGCGCACTATGTTTGTCCCATTGGCTGATGCAGGTTTTTAAGACGCTACAAAATCCTTCCAAACTGCTTTACCTAGAGTGATAGTGGGGTGAGGGTGCCCACCACAGACCCCCATCTCTTTAAGGCTCTGAAAATGTTATCAGCCAGCAGCTTTGATGTACCAGACCGGATCAGGCAACCCAGTTGCACATCCAGAACTTCACACTTCACCAAGATGTACTCCATGTACTGCGAGTTTGCACAATAAGCACTGTCGTTTCTGCAGATTCAGCAGCTTATATGCTGTCTAGTGGTGCTTTGGTTATTTTCTAGAATGGGGACTATGGAATTGCTTAGAAGTTGGTTGTCTTCTTCCTGTATTATTGCTCTGCTGTTCTCTGTGCGGGACAATTCAGGGCTCATCCAGATGGCAAAGTATTAAAAATGGGCAGAAGGGAAAGGATTAAACAGCCCTTTTCCTCTCCCCCAAAGTCATTCGCTCATGATTTCAGCGCCCAGACGCTGGGAAAGAAATGTACAAGTTATCATCTGGCTTATCCCTTGGGCATGTGTCGTTCGTCTGAAATTACGTTTTGGACGAATTCCAAATTCAGCAACCTTTCAGAATTTTCATTTTTTAAATTTTTTTGAAAATGTTCACATTCCACTTTTGAAATTTGTTTTTGAGGTGTCATCATTAAAACAATACTTTCGTTTGTGCTTTCAAGTTGCAGCCAAGTTGTGACGTCCCCAGCGAGGTGCTTTCAAGGCAAGTAAGAAGCAGAGGTGGTTTATCATTGACTTCCTCTGCAGTCTTCCTTGGGGGTCCCTCATTCAAGAGCCAACCCTGCTGTGCTTCCGAGATCTGATGAGATCTGGTTATATCATGCCGTTCCACATCTCCCCTTCAAAACACTAAATCTTAATGTTCTTGTCTTTACATTCAGCAATGAAAAAGTGGCTCAGGTTTCTAAATCCTGGAACGGTTTAAAAGCATCCTTAATTTTGTGGCCGGAGGGAGAGGGGAATCCAATTAGGAGACATGAGGATTTTTTGATAAGCAAACTGGAGTTAGAAGAATTTGCTTGTAAATCGGTGCTGCTGAAATATTAGTAAAGGACCCTGCAGGAACTTGGATTGGCTACCTGGATGTGTTTGATCAGAAGTGGAATCATGGGAGTGATTATAAGTGGTATAACATTTTACGGATGTAAAATTGTATGGGTCTAGACTGACCCTGTCAGATCTCGGACACGAAGCAGGGTTGGTCCTTGGCACCAAGGAAGTCTCTGCAGAGGAAGGCAATGGCAAACCACCTCTGCTTCTCACTTGCTTTGAAAGCCCCTCACTGGGGCCACAATAAGTCAGTTATATACATACATAACATTTAAAGTTAGCCCTCCTTCCTTTCTGGCTAAAATGCTAGCTACATGGAAAGTTCTTGTAAACCCATTGTGCCTGCGAACCTCCAGCCAAAGAAGAAGAATTGAGGAAGTGTTTTATCCTAAGACTCTTGGTATTACAGATGCTTCTACGCTGGGGTACTGGTTTGCTGCAGGTTATGAAACCAACCACCCATGAAACCACATTCTCTTCCTTTGCCTTGAACAGTTCCTTTCCTTTGCCTTTCCAATGTCTGCATTGTACAAACATGAACACATATTATGAGACTCATCCTACCCAATCATTTGCTTTAGATGTGGACTCCATTTACATTTATTTATTTATTACTTTGACTTTTACCTCGCCCTCCCCGCTGAGGCAGGCTCAGGGCGGTTTACATAAGGAAACAATAGAAAAACAATAATATAAATACTAATATAGAAAGGCTGTAGCAGCTTATTTCATCTAGGTAATGCAGGTTAGATAAAGTATCCCTCCCCCGCTCCCCATGGTTGACTCGTGCAAGGATGGAGGAGGATGAAATGACACAGAGAAAGAAGTCACAGGAGGTGACTAAAAAACCTGTGTATCCTACAAATGTACAATTAGTTTATACCACTTTAACTGTGAAGAATTGTGGGAATTGTAGTTTGAAGAGGCTGCTCAGAATTCTTTGTTAGAGACCCTTAGGGAACAACCGTTTCCACCATCCACTATGGAGAAGGAAATACTGCTAAACCAGTCCAAGTGTCTAGTAGGAGGACAACAGTAGGTGCTTGTATGGAGCAGGTGGAGAGACAAGACATCAGGTGTTTGCCTGTTTCCAGGTGTACAATTCCCCTTGTCCTAAGCCTTTTTCTGAGGTTATGCTCGGGGGCTATCCATTGTGTGCTTACCAGGAACCTGTGCTACCTGTGATCTTCCCAATATACACTGTCACCATTTTATCACATATCTGCAGCTTCAGAGAGAGCTTCATGAAAACCTCTTCATACAAAGGGACTACACATTATCAGGGGGGTTGTAGGTAACATTTGCTCCTGATACACATTTGGGTAGCCCCAAAGGTAACCTCTGAGAAAGGCTAGAGTCATGGAAACATTGAACACTTTTGCATGCATACTGTGGAACAGCTACCAAGGCAATGACATATGGCCATAAGAGGCCTTTGAATAAGCTGCTTAAATATAGAAGTAATTGGTTAAACCAAGATTTGTGTCGCTTAAGAGATGCTGGAAGTCCTCATTGGCCCAGTTCTAGTAGATGCCCAAGAGACTTGGCTCCCACATTATAAAAAGTAACAGAAGAACCCAGTTCTGTATGTAATAATGTCATCATGACCCAAGTCCCCAAAGTTTAGGACACTGCAGCTCTGCACCAAAATTTAATCACAGAACCCGGGCTGATAGTAACTTCTTACCAGTTCAGGGTTGGATCTCACTGAAGATTCCCATGTGGACAACCGCCCTTGCACAAGTGGAAACATGAAAGTTACTCATCACTGCCTGCTTGCACTAAAAAGGCTATTGTGTCCCCCTTTCCCACATGTTCAAGATATAGCCCAAGATATTTCATCTACCAGATTAAATGAAAACATGTGTAAGCCATCTGTTCTACATTCCATGGGCTGGATCGAACCCACTTGTTGCCCAATCTCGCTCAATTCTCTTCCTTCCTACAGCCCCTGTCCCACATGGCTTTTGTCCATGCAGGTCCCACAGTTCCCCAGCATAGCCTTTTTGGTGGTCAAAGGGAACCCCCTTTTCCTTTTCACTAGCAGAAAAGCTGGTTGGGCCCAACCCCATTGCTCCAAATGCAAATTGGTTTGGGTCCAACCCAAACTGATAGTCTGATAGTGCAGGATCTCCCCTCCAACCCCAGGAAAGTTTATTTTTGGGAGTGGATGGCTCAGTATGTACAAACAGCTGCAATGTTAGGCTGCTGCAGTGGAGAGGGGGAAGAGAATGCGACCACCATTTCTGCCTCTTGCATGAGCAGAGTTCACCTGACAGAAGAGGAATAAAGGAGTGATTTCACCTCCCTCCCTGCCATTTCCACCCAACTCATGTGGCTGTTAATACACACAAGGGGAGGGGAGGCAGGGAAGATCCCACCATGATCGCAGGATCCAATCATAGTTATTCCATTAAAAATTATACTGAAGCACAATGCGTGTCTCGCTTGCTGCAAGCCCATGTGGAATGACGCTAAGTCCAATTTTAAAATGCAGTTGTAAATAGATAAAAAAGGGAGGGGGAAGACTAAAGCAAATTATTAGCCAGTAGGAAGGAGTACAGAAAGCCATAGTAAGCTTTTAAAAGGCACTTCCTAATAATTTGAAGGTTATAGCTACATATTGAATAGCTGTTTGGTCTTATTGCTCATGCTTTTTGTGTTTGTAATTACGTTGTTATTGTTGTGGTTTCCTAATAGTATGTGCTACTGTAAATTGTTTGTTTTTTAAAAATAGTTTATGTATTTTCCAAAACAAAAATTCCAAAACCCAAATTTTTAATACAAAGTATCCTTTGGAGATTCTTTACACATTTGTTTCCATCCATCCATCCATCTAATTTCTGCCATTTTTTAAAAAACAGATTTTCATCTTTTGCCAACAGTATCATATTTAGTTTATCCATTTCTTTAATTTCCATAATTTCTGTAATTAACTCTTCTCTACCTGGAATTTTTTCTGATTTCCAGCATTTCGCTAAGAGAATTCTAGAGCTAGTAAGAATATACAATATCACACATAGGTCATTATATTTAATCCCTTCTGGTAAGATATTAAGGAGATATGCTTCTGGGTCTAGCTACTGTAAATTGTTGTTATATTATATAAATAAAAGGTAGATTTTTTTAAAAAGGCATCATGTGACTCATGGAACTAAGCTTTTGACCTGATGACCAACCACATATTCAGCATCCGTGAAGATAAGTGTTTATATGTTCCTGTGTCGCAGAGGTGTTCTTCAAAAGATGTATGTAGATGGCTAACGTGGATTTATGTCTGGATTGCAGGTCAAGATGGCGATGGACATGACTGAAAAAGAGATCTTGAAAATGCAAATAGACCAGCTGAAAAAGGAAACAAAAACTGAAAGGCAATTGGTAAACATTTCTCTATGCTGCCATTTTTCAGGCTAACCAGTTGGAACTGGTATGCGCAAGTTTCATGAGTTACACACGACATTTGTCAAGCAGAATGGAGTGGTAAACTCTCTTAGGCTATACATAAAATACAAAGGTTGTACAGCCATATTGGTCCATGCTGAATCCAAAACCAAAAACAAAGTCTGGATAATACCTTGTATTAGAAACCAACCAAATTGACACAAGACGTGCAATTTTTTGAGGTCACTATAACTCTTCATCAGTCCTGGAGATTACAAAATGTATTTTTTAAAAGTCTAATTCTCCATAAAATGCCAGCAGGCAATTAGCTTAATTTTATCGCAGCGGTACTGTTATAGTGTGGTCTCTGGGAAGCTGCATTCTGTACACTTTCTTCATTCTCTCACTGAAATACAGAATCCATCCAAGTCCATCCAAAAATCATCTCAAAGAAACACAGTTCCTTGCTGGATGAGATAAAATAGCTGGGGTGGAGGGAGGGGCACAAGAGACGCATTCAAAGATGCAAACATTTAATATTGTAAACATCTCTTTGGCTGTTAGAAATAAAATCCCCAGTGCTTTTGACATTTTTCTTCAGGGGAATCTACAAAAACATGCATAATGCACATCTATAATATCAGATTGCATTATTTATAGAATACCAACAAAGACATCTGGATGCATGAGTGGTACACTCAATAAAAAAACTGATTTCCACTGAAATAAAAAATAATAGCAATGGGTTGAATCCAGCAATCCATGGACACAAGGATTGTGGGTCTTTCCTGCATCCCCCTCTCCCTGGCAGTCCTTTCAGACCCCAGGAAAATTTATTCCCAAGGTCATGGGATTTGCCTGTGGAACTGCACTAAGCAGCAAGAGAAAACTCCTCCCTCTTCCATCAGCAGAGCTTTGTGGAAGAAAGATATAGGGTGCTTTGTCCATTTCTTTCTCCCCACTGCAACCTGCCACTTGCATGGCCATTGGTTCACACGGTCCCATGGCCCAGGGGATAAATTTTCTTGGGGCTGGAAAGGACTGACAGGAGAAGGATAATTTGGAAAAGATCCGTGACCGTAAGCACCTTCTGCTAACAGACTGCTAGATCCAACCTCATTTTTTTTTAGTAAACAAAATTCAAATATGACTGATTTACAGTGTTTCTTAAGATTGCATCATTTATCATATACCAAAAGGCATCAAAAGTTTCCCAAGATATTGCAAAATGGAATTTTATACCGAGCATCTGGTTGTACCTTTAGGCTTTTTCTAGACACGGAACACAAGAAAGCACCAATCCACTAGGACATTCTCTTGCACAAAGAGTTGGATCCAGTGTTTCTGCCAGGTTTTTCACGCACTCTCACCCAATTTCCTTCCCTTGCCACAGACTTCATCCCACATGTGTTTTGTCCATGCAGGTTCCAGATTCCCTAGCATAGCCTTTTTAGGTGGTCAGAAAGGTACCCAGCTTTCCCTTTGCACCAGCAAAAAGCTAGCTGGATCCAACCCCGAGTCTACTGAAATCAACGGGAGCTATGCAAGTGTATGATGCTGTTTGACAGCTCCCAAGCACTCAAATAGGGCTTGCGCAGGAGAGCCTCCTGGTGGACTATATTACATCCTACTTACTATAACAAAGGTTGTTGGTTGTTTCAAGCAGACAGCTCCCAGACTGCAAAATCCTTAAACATTTCAAACACACAAGAAAAAGTCCTGTACGATAGTTTAAGTCACATGAAAACCATGTTGGTTTTGATTTTTGCAAGCAAATTCAAACTAGGAGAATTCACTCAGGAATTTCCCTTCAAAAGTAAATTTAAGGCTGCATCCATGGATATTGTCCTATTGTGGTGCTAGCAATGTTCCCTCTAAGCTGTGGAGTCTGGTGAGCAAAAATCCTACGTTGTGAGCTGCTGGCTTTATAGTTGTGAGCAAGCGCTTTAGCTACTGCATCAGTTAGTTTGCTCTGGAGCCCTCCTTCCTGAGCTAAGGCAGAAATCTGTGAGCTAGAGGCTGAAAAACGGTGAGCTAGCTCACGCTAACTCAGCTTAGAGGGAACAGCAGCAGACATTTGCAAATAGATCTTCTTGCCCACACAGGAAAATCCAATTGCAAATGCTTGCAACGATTGCAGTGATAGCGCCCGTATCCAACTACAGCCTAAAATTCTATCCAAACGTAGAAGTTTGAAGTTCCCAACTTGTTAAATGGGTTGAACCAATACTAGGCCCCACAGAGTTCTTTATGGGTTTAACATCGGAACCCTAAATAGACGCACTTCCTTAATGTAGCTGAATTTCAGTCCGGGGGGTGGCCCTTCCATGAGCCCAGGTGAGGCAGCTGTTCCACAAAGTGGATTTTGGACAGCAGAGGAAATGTTTATGAAGCACAACTGACCCAGTTATCATTTTGTCTTATGGCGACCCCATAGATTTTCAAGGCAAGAGATTTCAGAGGTGGTTTGCCATTGCCTACCCTTTGCACAGCAACCCTGGACTTCCTTAGTGGTCTCCCATCCAAGAAGTTTAGCATCCAAGATCTGACAAGAACAGGCTAGCCTGGGCCATCCAGTCAGGGCAAAGAGATTTAATGCAGAATCTATAAACATGTACAACTGGCTATTGGTCTTATGACAGTAGCTTCCTTTCAGTGAGAGTTTTTCTCTTGTACAGGGACCGGGTCTTCTTCGAAAGGAGCCCCCAAATATGTAATAAATTCTGTCTGTGGCTAAACATTGATACAAGGCTCATAGGCAAGAAGCAGCCTAAGGGAAACGTTGGGAATAACTTTGCCGGAAGAACGCAAGGTCGGAAGTACAATGAGTTGGATCCATCAGAGCATTTCTGCTGATGGACGGTTCTCTGCCCAGGAAGTATTTTTCCCCAACCCAACAGAGCAAAAAATGCCCCCCAAATGTTTGTCTTGATGGTTCCCTGTCCCCAAGGAGCAGCATTTCTGGGAGCATTTAGGGCTGCCATGAGAGGCCCAACACTTCCACTCAGCAGGTGGAAATCCTTCCATAAGTGGAAAGCCATTGCCTTTGGCATGCTCATTGAGCATGTTTTATACATATAGGCTTGGCTCCCATGAGATAGCAGCATGGCTGGGATTTTAGCGCCATCTGTAAGCAATTAATCAAATTATTATAGAGCCAGGTGGTCAACCACGTTAAAGGTCCAGTGGCACCTTTAAGACCAACAAAATTTTATTCAAGGTATGAATGCACACAAAAGTTCATACCTTGAATAAAACTGGACTCTAAATTTGTTCTTCAGATTATGATGTCTTTATTACCTTATATAAATCTTAACTTGTTTTATCAATGTTTTATATAACTGTATTGTACACCGCCCTGAGCCTGGTTTCACCAGGGAGGGTGGTTGATAAATTAGATTTAATTAATTAATTAATAAAAACAAGTTCTGCATATGCCAGACAGCTCTGCCACAGAGGTGGCTTCCTCTTCCGCTGGAACTCCCATTTCTGCAAGATCAGAGGTCTTCAATGAGACCTTGAGCAAACAGAAGTGCTAGAAGACAAGGACGCGGGTTCAGTGGCAGAGTCTGTCTAGAATCATAGAACTTGTTCAGGGGATCCAAATCATTATTTTGTTAGACTGCTGGAGGACTTGATCAGTTTTTTGTTCTGGATTTCAGCCCTCCCCTCCAGCTCTCGTGGGAATGGATTTGGGGCAGTATTAAAAATGGCCAAGTGGGAGACAGGCCATGGAGTATAAAAAAAAGGGACATTCTCCAGTGTAAGCCTAGGGTTGCCAGCTCTGGGTTAGAAAATATCTGGAGATTTTGGGGGTGGAGGGGGCAGGGTTTGGGGAGTAGAGGGACTTCAGTGGGATATAAGGCCATGGACTCCACCTTCCTAAGTGGTCATTCTCTCCAAGGGAACTGATCTCTGTCACCTGGAGATCAGTTGTAACCCCAGGAGATCTCCAGCCACCACCTGGAAGTTGGCAACCCCAGTAAGCCCCATTGAGAGGAACAAGAACTCTCCAAGAGCACCTCCTGTCTGTTTCAATGAAGCTTGTCAAGACAGCTTCTTGATACAATATACCTTATAAAAATTAATTAGGAAAGATATCTCGTACGTATTTTCTGCCTCAGACATTACAGAGTTTTGGGGCAGACCTCAGCAACACCAGAATAACGCTTATTTCCCCCCCCCCCTCACACAGATCTCCAAGACAGCAAAGGAAGTCATAGAATATATAGAGGCCAATTCAGCAGAAGACCCTCTCTTAAAGCCCATCCCAGAAGACAAGAACCCATTTAAGGAGAAGGGAGGCTGTACAATAAGCTGACCCCGGCCCCCCCGAGACAAGATCTTCACTGCCCTCCTCACACAGTACCTGGACTCTCTCATTCTAGCTTAAATGATCTTCCACAAGAGAAATAAAACTATTGGACTTCTTTGCTGGAATTTAAGCCTCCCACAGAACAATGGAATTGGGAAGAGGTCTCCGCTGAGACAAAGAAACAAGAAGACAGCTGCTAAAGAGGACTTCCATGTTGTAAATATGCTGCAATTGTTGCAAGTTCCTCAGAGACGCCTAGCTATTCATTGCTGTTTTGTTTTTTTTAAGTGTAGGCTTTTGAGTTTGCTAGCTTATAGGTGTTCTTTTTTCCCAGTAGATACCAGCTTGAAATAGACTCAGCACAGCACAGGGTATTCCCTTTTAAAACGGCAACACCTAGGATTGCTGTCTCTGGTTTGGG